ACTTGAGAAAACAATGATGCTTCAATATGGTAAAAAATTATTTAATAAAAATAAAAATTAGATTCTTATAAATCAATCCAAATGATTTTTTTTTAACATAGTGATTCTGCTATTGAAAGCAAGTTCTAGAAAAAAAGGATTGGTTGATGTGAGCCACATTAATGTCAACATACCAATACCAAAAAGAAAAAGATCAAGGGTGTTATATGTGTTGAGTTATTATTGTGAAGGTATTTCTGATGAAGGTGAGCAGATCATTGTCTTGTTGTGTACTTTTACTGGTTCTGGACAGGGATCATATTTATTACTAGATTTTTTATATCATTTATATTCACAAAGTGTTCCAGAGGCTAATTTCACACCAATTTCAACATAATTAAGTTTTATATCATAGTATACTAATTTTTTTCTAGGTCACATAGAAAATATGGTGTGAAACATGTTCCAGGCTGCATCAAAGAAACAAAAATTTGTCATAGTATTTATAAACAAGGTATAGAGATCAAAGTAGTTTTCATCATTTAAAGCATAGCAAGAAGTAAGCAGAATGAAGTGGAGCTTAATGAAAACAAGGCACAGAGAACAAAGTAGTTTTCATTATTCAAGCATAGCAAGAAGTAAGTGGAATGAAATGAAGCTATGGAAAACAAGGTATAGAGAACAAAGTAGAAAATAAAAGAAGTACACAAGGCAGATAGACATATCAAGAAAACAACATTCAGTACACAAATAGGTAGAGAACAAAGTGAAAACAATCTGCATAGCAAAGTGGAGCAGTTGATGCCATACATGATGGTGAAATAGTTTTGTTTCGACAATAATTTCGACGATTAGGGTTCAAACATTTCGAATATACCCTAACAGGTTTCGAAAAAAACGAATTCGAAATCAAAATCGAAATTCAAAATTAATAAATAACTTTTTTTCATTTTTGCATTAATCATACATGATGGCGAAATAGTTTTGTTTCGACAATAATTTCGACGATTAAGGTTCAAACATTTTGAATATACCCTAACAGGTTTCGAAAAAATCAAAATTCGAAATCAAAATCAAAAATCAAAATCAAAATCGAAATTTGTAATCAAAATTCGAAAATTGTAATATTTGCATTAATGTCTTTAAAGTGTTTTTATTTCAATTTTTTGAATTTCGATTTTGATTTTGAATTTAGATTTCAATTTTGAATTTTGATTTTGATTTTGATTTTTGATTTTGATTTTGAATTTTAGATTTTGATTTTAATTTCGCCAAGGGTATTTCGATTTCGAAAATGTGATTTTTTTGAAAGTTTCGAATTTTATCAAATGACTTTCACCATCATGTATGGTTGATACCAAAACAATAAAACTAATAAATTAATAACATTTTCAAATTAAACATTTCTGCAATCTATATAAAAATAAACCAAAAATGTTTGAATATATTACTCAAATTTTCAGCTATATTGGCAATGCATTAAAATCCCTCAATGATAGTAGGGACCCATTTGAAGCTGGTGATCTATATAGTAGAGGTCAGGGAAAAAATCAAGTATGTAGGGGTGAAAACACCAGAGTTTGTATTACCATCAGAACTGATTGGTAAAATTATAAAGCAAATCAAGGATCCAGTAAAAATTACAAACATAATGTTAGTAAACAAAACATGGTATAAAGAGGGAAAACATCAATTATATAAAGATAATAGAATGGTTAAAGATTAAAAAGGATCAATAAATTGAATAGATTTATAAGATATCTAAATCTTGATAGGTTAGATGATACATTAAGGTTCATAAAAAGCTTAAGGAAATTTGTGATGAATTACACATAATTGCAGAGAACAATTATAATGAAGCAATGGGAAAACTTCTAGATGAAGATACATTTGATTTCTGGTTAGATAATATTCACCATCCCAGGGTCCTTCCACAACTTATCCTGGTATATTGTGGTAGTGCATGTAGATGTGCAATGGGTGTGTTGCCATTACATGCAAGTGAGCCCATTTGTCTTTGGTCATCATCAAGGTGTAGAAGATCTGAGAGGGGCCTTACACACTTATTTCTTTTTAAAAAGGGAGACAAATTCGAAGGCAAGGTTGTGGTTTTTGATAAATATTTCTTATAGTTTGCATGTTTGGTGGCCAGTATCTGGTTCTAATTTTGAAAATTTCTTCTTTTCTCAAACATCAATGTGGCTAGTACCAACACAAGCAGGACCTAGCTATCTATTGAAGGTGGTATTTTTTAATGTATCATAGTATATCTTTCTATTTGGGGGAAGCATCTAAGATTCCAGGTCAGGATTCCAAATAAGACCAGAAGTTTGGCATTGTTTGATTCAACAAAACCCACAATCAGTATACTGTAATTTGTGTCTGTTATGTATTTTTGGGGAAAGAATCATTTGGGACAACCAAATCTGGAGGATGGGGAACCTCTTCTAGAAGTTGACTGCAATAGTGGTTCAACAAGCAAGATTAGATGTGGGCTTTTTATTTGATAATTTAGGTATAATTTTATTATATTTAAATTATTCAGATACATGTATTAAATTTTGTATATATTATATGATATATTGATAAGTACATCACTTCAATTTGTTAATACTATAAAAAAAGAAACCATTGATTTGAAAAGATAAGAAACAAACAATACTCCAGTTATGTATGTATGACAACAATGATTATTAAAAATTACATTTATTTTTTTGCCAAAAATCATTATTTTTTATTTATGTACATATTTGACACCCAAATTTCAAAATGAAAAAAAAAAATATTTAAACTACAGTAGCCAGATAAATAAAAATAAATAATAAATAATTTAATACATAACAAGCAATAGGATTTAACTTATTCAGGTAGGTCATTTGGTATAGCTAAATCAATTTGTTTAGAATCTATAAAATATTTATCACAAGAGTGGATATTAATAAATATTGTGTTAATTTTAATAAAAATGAAAATAATCAATAATTGAATATTAATAATTACCATTATTATTACCAATAATTGTTACTTTATTGGAATTCACAGGTTGGGGAAGGTTTGTAAAATTTAATAATCTGCTAGTATAAATTGCATTTGGATGAATTACTGCAGTAATTGTTGAAGGATTAAACTTTATTTCATCCATTTTCTCAAACCCTTTTCTTATTGATTTTAATTCATCTTGCATTTCTTTTGAATATTTTTCAAGATCATTATTCATTACATAGTCATTAAGTGAATCATCCCAAATTTTGATAATCTTTTTAATTTCTCCAGCAGTTGGACGTTTATCTGGATTAGCATCCATGCATTTGAATGCTAGTTCAATATAAAATTTTGGTGTATTGTTTGAGAATTTGGGTCTTGAACCTTTACATATTTCCATTGCAAGATATTCATCATGTGCCAAATTATTAAATGGTTGTTGGCCAGTTGATACTAAAGACATCAGAACTCCAAAACTGTATATATCTGATGCCATTATATATGGTTTCTCTTTTAAAACTTCTGGTGCAATATATGTTAGTACTCCACATATATTATTTTTGTTTGATGATGATGTTTGACTAACTAGACATGATAATCCTAAATCTGCAATATGTGTAACCCAATTATTTTGAAGAATATTACCACTATGAAGATCATGATGAATAATTTTGTTTTCATGAATACTTTTTAAACCTTTAATAATTTGTTTAAGAATTTCAATTTTGTTTTCCCATTTTAAATTTTTAAAATCTTTAGTTAAATAATTTTGAAGATTCCATCTTCCATATATTTCATTACAAATATATATTCTTTGGTAATTGGATCCTGTGTTAATCCATAAATATGAATTATAGATCCTTTATCATGAAAGTTCATATAATTTTTGAACTAAATAATAAATAAAATATTTAATTACAACAATAATAATCAATAGTACTTAAAAATCAGAAAATAAATAGAAAATAAAATAATTTACCTCATTAAGAAATTCATCTGAAATATTCTGTGAACCATGTAGTTTTTTTAATGCCACAGGCATATCTTCATTATATCTTTCATTATTTTTATAATTTATAATTCTCTTACCATTTAACCAAGTGGCTTTGGATATAGTTGCAAACCCACCTTCACCTATCTTTTTGATATTTGTTAAATCATTATAAGGAATCCATTGAAGATAATCACTATAGTTATATGTAGTTGCTTTAAGTTGTAAACTTTTAATCAACTCATCTAATGTTTCATTGCCACTAGTCCATCCTTCAGTTAATAGCTTTGGATCACATGACTGACACCATGCCTTATAGGTATTATATCTATTGCATGTTTGACATTCTCCATATTTTTCATTTCTTCCCTTTGAATATTGATTTTCATAATCTTGAAGACTTCTATTTTCCATGTATTCCATTACAAAAATATATTCTTTTGTAGCTGGATCTTGTGTTAATCCATAAATTTTATTTATCATGAAAGTTCATATAATTTTTGAACTAAATAATAAATAAAATATTTAATTATAACAATAATAATCAATAATATTTAAAAATCAGAAAATAAATAGTGTGAGATTGTAAACCGTGGACCAACAAATTGGCCGTTAATATCGACCAATTAGAACGAACTTACTACGGAAGTCATGTGATGCGCTAAATATTACATCACGATTAACAATCATCTTTCTATATTTATTGCAACGGTTGCACGTCATGTTACACATGTAGATCATTACATCATTTCTATTTTTAACTTATTTTATGACATAATTATTTACTTCGAATTATTAATCAAATTATTTGTAATAATGACTCATAGGATTAGTAATTATGAGTCAGAGCATTAGTAATTAACAATTAGTAAGCTAGTAATACACAAAATAGGATTAATAAGCATATTTTATTGGATGAAATATTGTAAAGGTCATGTTACTTGTAATACCTCAAGAGGTATAAAAAGGAATATCTTTAATAGCATTATTTGGAGTATCGGCCATTGCACCCCTTGGTATTTCTACGTGTGTAGTGACAAATGACATAATGTCTGTTGAGGCTGATGTCATCAAGGCTGATCCATTATTGAGTAGTGTAGTTAATAACACATTTCTTTGAAGGAGCTAACAAGCATTAGGGTGTGTGGTGTAGTTGGCTACCACCCATGTCCAGGAACAAATGATGGGTTGCATGTTGATGAAGAATATGCAATTGACTTTAATAAAACATACAGTAACAATGCAATGAGACATTGTCTGTTGAAAACTGGTAGCAATGATAATATTTCGTATCCTTCCCATGATTTTATGATGCTGAGTGCAACAACAAGTGTACGGAAAGAGGGTTATGGAATTATTGACACAATGGTTGTAGATCATGATAATGGTGGATTTTTAGTAAATAATGTAATCCAACTCAATTTAAAAGCCAACGGGAGTCTTAGCTGGTCAATTCAAGGCATGTGGCTGCAACCACACATCAGTTTTCATTCAACAAATCTTATGATGATTTCATGGAAAAATGGTACTGACTTTCAGAGTGATTGGATAGGCTATGTAGTTATCAACAACACTGATATAAATTCATTGGGTATAAATCCAATTGGTGATCAAGGCCAATCAACTGATCTTCCAACAAGAAGCATCATGTATGGTCGGATGATACAAGTTCTTCTTATGGAAGGATTAAATATGACAGCAAATGGGACCTTTTTTAAGTCACCAGTTCTGTTTAATAATTTTTTTGACCAAAAACTGTTGATTCAAAAAGCAATTTTCGTGGATATTTCAATATAGGTGTTGAATTTAATGATACACTTAGCTTGGATGCTGAAATTTGGTGTGAAGGATATACTGGAATTGACAATATTTCAGAAAATATAGTTGGTGTTAACTGCTGGACATTACTTGGATTTCTCATACAAACTACACAAGGTACTGAACAAACTTTTTACAGCTGTGCTAGCGCAGTTGAAGCAAGTGTAAAGACTATCAAATTGCAATCTAGCACAACAGGAGCATTTAATGTAACAGATGTGCAAACCATTCCAGCACAATGGTATATTGAAAAGGGAGTCCTTAATATTACTGACATGGATCCTGGTGGGGAGGAGTTGAATTTGGAGAAAAACTTCCTAATAATAGTTTATTAGTAAGCAAAAATACTCTAACTTGTTGGGTAGCAGTAATAACATATGGGGTTTTAATTACGATGCAAATGCTGCTTCTGCTCCTGCTATGGCAATGGACAAGATACGTAGCCTTAAGAATGATAAAACTGGTTATCATGGAGATGGTATCGGAAACTATGGTTTATTGCAACAATGGAAAGAAAATGGATTAACAGTCGCAGGACATTGCGGATCTACAGGGGGTCAAGTGTCACTCACTAATAAAAAATTTTTGATCAACACGGAATTTT